ATGTAATTCCTCTCTTTTGACCTCTTCTCTTCTCATTCCTTCAACTTTGTTTGTTTAATCATATATATATACAGGATATAAATTTATTTATATTTATTCAGTCATTATTATTCAGGTTGATGTAATAACAATAATAATAATAATATATTATACCGACTATACTGTTCCGATGAATACTGCAAGGACATGATTAAATTGTAAATGTGAGCGAAAAATAATTAATTTAAACAAGGTTTTTGAAAGAAAGTATCTTGTGGACAGGAGATCGAATTAAACGGAAACGCTTGACTATTCGGCACCTGACAGTTTCAAATGAAATTAAGACTTACTTAAAAAAACTCAACTGACTCTGCCGTTTTTTGCAAATTATTATTTTGACGTCATATTGTGTGATTGGAATAAAAATGTAGGTGTACCAAAAATAAGTCATTTGGGAATAAAATTCAAAACCAAAGCTTCAATAGTTAGTAAAAAAAATCATAAAAAAGACATTAATGCAGTCGAAAAATGGAAATCGCATTCAACTTTCAATCAATACATATTATATTTTATTTATAATATCTGTACCATAAAAAAAATGAAGTTTCTTGTTGCTTTTTGAAAATTTATAGTTATTTAAAAGGAGAGTTATTGCGTTATTGGTTTATTATTATCTAAAACTTTAAATAAGATTCGATATTGACAAAAAATGTTTTTTACTACACCAAAACATTTAATATTTTTCTATTGAAATGTTTAAATCATTTTAAAAAAATGTTGTTTGTCTAATAAGCAATAATAAAGACGATGATGATAATAATAATAACAATAATAATCATAATAATGGTATTATAAATAATATGATTAAATAAACAATTAAATAGTGGTAGGTACCCGTACCTTCATACAATAAGTTTTAATATATTATAAAGCTGATAAAATTCATTATAACTTTAAAGTGTGTGTATTGTTTGACTTAAATTCGATTAATGAAATACCACGACCACTGCGGTGTAATTGCGCATACCTACTGTGAATTTGTGAATTTCTTTAAGTAAATTATTTAAAACTGAACAATTCAAAAGATAAAGTTTTACCGACATTCTTATCACAATAAAATAGTTGGAAAGGCTTTAAAATAAAGTATTAATCGATGAATATTATCAGTACAACAGTAGGTGCACCTACGCACCATGTCATACGTTGGAAGAATTATAAATTGTGGTATAAAAATTAGAATAATTTATGTATGGACTAATATATAAAAACCGTTACACGATTTTTACTTCAAAATGTTATAGGTAGCAGATATCCAGTTTCTTTGATATTCGAATGGGTTTTCATATCGTTTGTGTTCATAAATATAAAAACATCTAAAAATGAATTCTCGAAAAAAAAAATTCCAATACACTATATTATTTACGACTTTATCCAAGTTAAACCTAACTCATAGATATACTATTTTACTATAGTATCCAGGGACACCCGCAGACCAAAGAGCCAATTGAATTTTGTAATACCATTTGAAAAAAATTAAAATAAAACTAAAAAATAATTTGCGCAAATACGATGGAGGAAATAATTTTTTAATTAATTGATGCGGGCGCCCCTGATAGTAGGTACCTTTACAGCACATTCATTGTTACTGATAACTGAGCACTCGTCATATTATATTCATTATTTGGAGTAGGAAAATGCACATCATTTCTGATTTAAGTCAAATGAATACTATACGCAATGATTGAACAATCATCTAAAAGGATAATTTCAACATTTTATTTAGATCGACAATATTTTAAAATAACTGTCTTCTGATTTTTTTTTTTAACTATTAAGAGTCTTAAATATTTTTATCACAAGTACATATTTATTATAAAATTTGCCAAATTTTCGATTGATTTAATTGTCTGACACGAATAAAATTGAACAACCAATATAGTGATGGTGACACATCTTAATTATTTAAATTGTAAAATCAATAAAATAAATCAATCTTTTCGTGTAATATAAACATTATAACATAAATTGTCTTCTTATGGGTATATGTAAATAAAAAAATTATGATAGTATATTAATGAAAAATACAATTTTCAATGTAATATGATAAAAATAAATTCATAACCAATATGTCTTAATACTTCTATCCATGGATTTCTTGTAATATAATTAGACAAAAAAAAAATAATTTAAAAATGTTGATCTAAATCTATGGGTAAAAATCTGAGATGTTTGATTTATAACTTATTTGTTTTTATTACGACACATTTTTCATATTTATTTAAACTATATTAAATGCAAGTGTATTGTTTAGAACTATTATTAATCAAAGGTCTTGTCATTTGTCACATATATAATAATAATATTGTATTTTAAAACTTTCAAACAATTATTTTTGTATTATTTATTGAAATACATCATCGATAATGGTCTTTAACATGTCGATCAACAGGTTAGGTTAGGTAAGATAAAAATAACATATTATATTTTGTTTATTGTGCATAATATCCAAATCGCACGTCATTTTCTATATTGATTATGAAATATATGACCAATATCATTGTTATTTTGGTTGTTAGTTTATATAATCAGCATAATTATTCATTTATCTATGTTAAATATTCATCAATAACTTTCGTTCATTCGTTGGATGGGCATAAACTTAAGTCTAAATATTATTTTTTGTTTTAAATAAAAGGCATAAAAAGAAATTAAAGTTGTAAAATGAATATTTTTTTTCTTCATAATATTTTAAGCCATAAAATACAATTAATTAGTATTTTATAATAAAAGTAATTAAATAATAATAGGTTAAGCTACGCTGTTCAAGGATTATGCACAAATTTTAAAGAAATGAAAACAAGTAACTTTCAAACGTAGGCTATTTAAACAATGCGTTTGAACACCTGTACAAATTTGTATACTGTAGTTTGCAGTAAAACTGAACACAATGAGTCGTTCAGTCGGTGTATGTTTCAGTTCGTAGTAGAATGCATGTTACCATCATAACAAATCGAATGAACTAAAACACACTACGTAAGTACCTATACACAATAGTACTACCTATATAAATATTTTGTGGAGATTTTAGTCTATAGACTTAGTAATTTGAATAACGTATACATTAACGAGTATAAATTACTATATAATGTATTTATATTTTATGTGTTGTATTTATTTGTATAAAAACGAAATATTACAAATCTAAATACATATATTATACATTAGTGTGCCGTAGGTACAACAGTGCTTTGTTCATGCATATAATAAATAATTATAACATGATGGCCATAATGAAAATATAAAATTTAAGTATAACGCCTATTTTAAAGTAAAACTTAATTCAGTAATAATATAATATAGTTGTAATGAGATTTAGTTATGTTCACTTCTATAATGTGCATTGTATAACTCTGATGTGAAGATCATAACCTAATATTTAAATTCATATTTAACACAAGACATTGCATTTACTAAAAAAATATACTAAATAAATGGGACTATAATAGATTTATTGAACGTTTTTTTAATATAGATAGACTTCAACAACAATATTGTTTTATTAACACATTTGGGTAAATGATTTTATTTTATTTTTTGTAACACCAATTTAAAAACCATAGATCAGTTTTTAAATAATTATATTTTGAATGTTATTCCATATTTCTATTATTAAGTAAGTGGATATACTGTCATCGATATTATAAAACTGCTGAGGTAAAATAAATACGTTTCTGTTTAGTGCATTTTTTCATTCTAAACGAGAAGAATGTATTGGTTTTACTATGATGACACTTTTTATGTATGTCTGTGAAAACTAGTAAAGTGTTAGCTTGACAAATAAGTGTGGCACCTTAAAAACATCTACATGTGTAGATACTGAGCTACATCGATCAGAATCGACTTTTGAACGCAATGATTTTAGTAGTGCCTAATTTGTATAATTTCTTTGCTAAAATTAATTGATAAAAAAATGTTGATAAAATTGTTGTAAGTTGCTTCTGAAGTTCTGACCTGTGTATATCATTTTCGGAAAATACTAATTAATGTCCTAGAATCTAGATAGTTCACATAAATAATACATTTCATATCCTAGAGAAGTCACTCTGCTGTATAGTGGGTTAGGTTAGGTAGTAGTGCACCTCGTCATTGAGTAGGTCAATGCAATCATAATATAGATGTGTTAAATTTGAATTCAATGATAAATCAGTTATCAATGTTTATACGATGAAAAATTGTTACAAGAGGGGAAAGTCTATCGGTAAGCACTTATATTATAATTCTATGGATATTTTATTATATATTTGTATTGCTATAAGTAACTTATTTTTCTACAAGTATTACCTGCGATAAAATTAACTAATTTTTTCAAAAAAACAAATTATATATAATAATGTAACGATTGTTACATCATTACTTAAGATTTATAAACATACTAACATGTACGTTGTACAATATGCTGACTATATATTAAGCTCCCCCCTCCTATCTAGTCTCACATTTACTATGGTAAGGGTACGATGTAAGAGAACAACAGTAACATATATCGAGAAAAAGTTGTACTTTTTAAAAGTCTATAAATAGAACAATAAAAGCCAACATGATTTGAAAATTATACCATGTATAGAAAATAATATTATAAATATTGAGAAAAATGTAGATCTCGTCTCTACAGTTATTTGTTTTTAATTCCAATAACAAAAAAAAAACAACAAAATCGATTCTGTCAAATAACCGGTTTTGGGTGGGAATTCCCGTTTATCAATAGTTTTTTTTCTTGATTATTTTTTAAAGTATTTTGACTTTTTACTTATGCCTCTCACATAATAGGTACCTGGTACCTACCAACATGAAAGTAGAATATTGGAACATTTTTCTGTTTTAAAAGATGATAACAGAGTCCGTCTAAGACCGACACAAAAAAAAATTGCACACATCACATTTGAACCAAATAACTTATCACTCTACTCAGAATATAAAATCTATTTTTTTATATACTGTGTAACATATATTTTTGTTTATAGGGAAATGTTTAAAACGGTTTTTTTAGCAATAATCGTAGGAGCAACTGTTTGGTCGACACAAGCAAATAACTCAAAGGAATCAGAATGCATAGAGGAATTAGAACGAGAATTGCAAGCGTATGTCAAACTGGATGGTTGGCAGAAACTTTTCACACGACATTTTAAGTTTATTGTTAATGAGAATGGTGAAGTCTTAAGTGAAAGAAAACGACTGAAGTTTAATACAATTATACACAATGTTTGTTATACTTGCTATTAAATAAATATATTTTAAAGTTTGATGATTTTAACGAAATAAAAATAGTATTTACTCTTGAATAATAAAAAATAATTTAAATTTAGTAAAAAATTATACTTAAGTTTTTTTCAAAAATAATAAAATTAACTTTATAGTTTTGTATGCCTGTGTACACTCCATGAATGATGTTTTAAATTTAAATGAATTGATTAATAAAATCCAATGATACAATATTGTATTAATGTAAATAATATTATTTTAGGCAATTTATGGATGCAATCATGAACGTGACGATGAAGTAGACGACTGCCCAAATATTTCCCATGGAAGTATAAGGTCGTGTAAACATGGAAAAAATATCAGATCCGCCATATTTAGGGCGGCAAGATGCGGTTTTGCTGAATTGTCCGTTAAGCATATAGTTCTAAGTGAATCTTTGTTAAATTCATATCCATTAAACAAGGTACGAAAACATGTTTATTTAGTTTTATACCTATAATATACACACATTTATTTAATTTTGTAAGTATATTTGTAGATACAAGAAAAATAGTATTTGAAATGTTAATAAAGTTACTATTAATTTTAAATATAAATGATTTAACTTTGTTTCAGTTGGATAAAATACCTAGTACTGTGGACAAACCAATCAGAGAATTCGGTGAGACTGTTGTCAATATGATGAGCATACTTTCTCACGGTGAAACAGGTGGTCTCGGAGAATTTATGGCTTTAAATTTATACTTGGACAATGTATATGATACCGTGTTCCTACACAAGATACAAGCGGAACAAGTTGCGTCATCGGTTGATGTAGAAATTGCTGGAAAACACATAGGTGACGTCCACAAGATGCTTTTAGATAAATTTTACACTTTTTGGGACACTTGGTGTAGCGACAAGGACATAGTGACTCAGTATCGATTAAAGTACAAAAACGACGAGTTCATAGTCATTTTAGACGAAATGAACAAGAACATCGAAGATGCTGACGAATTGATGCGGAGCTTAAACGTTTCCGATAACGTAGTAGACTTAGATTTTGATCCGAAGAAGATCGCTCTAACAGATTTTGTCAACCATCTAGTTTCAAATGTACCTATGCCGAATGAGCTTTTGGTCGACTTAAAGTTAAAATCATTTGAGGCGTCGTTTGAATTTAACCCTCAAGCTATGTACGCGTACCACAAATCCATATTCAGGACTATATACATGTGTTTTTATTGGACGACCATCACTCACTTAAAACTAGGTATTCAGTTTATAGACGAAATAGAAAATTATGAAGTAACTAATCACAATATGAGTTTTATAGTTAACTTTTTCAAATACTTACGACCACTAACGATATTTAATGTTCACCGATCTCAATTTCCATTAAAAATGTCACCAGAGGCTTCGAGCAACTTGAATGATTTGCTTTTCTTTTTGTTAAAGTGTTTTGATGATTTAAAAAATACTAATTCAAAGGACTTGATTTTATCATCAAGAAAAGAAATTCAGAGATTTGCCAGTTTATTTAGTGCTGACATGGAGACCATGTTAAATATGAAAGCACCGGCTAATTATTATTTTGATACTATAAGTTATGAAAAATCATTGAAATTAATGAAATCAAACTACCGAGTATTTACTCGTTTAGTTTTAGCGACATGTAGCTTTAAAGAAGATCGATTGAATGTGATAAAATTAAAAAAATTTTTCTTCTTTCTGTCCGAAGCCGTTGAGTTTGATGATAATTCATAATTGTACATTTTCTCAAGCCTGGGAAAAACGAGTTAAAAGGTTAAAGTTAAGTTAATTTTAACTTCTTACTTCAACTTTTTTTAAATTTAATTTTCATTAACATAATTTTTAACTTAAATTTTTATTGATACAGAATAAATAAATAGGTAACGAGTTTCTTTTAATCAAATCTAAGTTACTTTAATTTATTAAGGATTAAATAATAAATATAATATAATTATTATTATTAATGATACATATTGCATAAACATTTACTTTTTACTATTTTAAACCCATTAATGGCTATTTATTTATGAAAAAAAAATAATAACTTAAGTAACTCGTTATTCATTAAGTTTATATCAATAAAAATCAGTTGAATTAAAAATTATGTTAATGAAAATTAAACTTTAAAAAGTTAAAATTAACTTAACTTAAACTTTTTAACTCGGTTATTATGCCTAGGCTTGGTTTGCAGTTGAATTATTATAATATAACATAATATTTTGTTTGTAAATACCTATATATTTTGTAACTTGTTATTTAAATTAATTGTCTAGTTTTATCAACCTAGGTACATTTATTTTGTGTGTAACGTTAAACTTAACAACGAATTACGTTTACTTATTTATTAGACTAATACCATATTATATTTTATTTACGAAAGTAAATATAATTGCTTTTTAGACTTAAATATTTACTAAAAATATAATTTGTATACATTTTAAAACCAATCATTAATTGTTCGTAATTTATTGTTAAATAATATATTTATGGTTTATTTGTTTAGATGTTTTTGGCAATATAATAATATTATTGTTTGGATTTATATTAATATCATATTAGAAGCTATACACTATTTAAATAAGCATTCGATATTGATGACAATGCATTGCTACACTCGTGTTAGCATATAATATGGATATAGATGCTTATAGCATAATATTTACTGCGCATCATGTTTCGTAATATAATTCGACATGTCCTAATTTCCTACGGTTACCTATAATAGAATATTTCAGTTAAAAGAAATCCATATCTAAACTGCAGTTGTATAAGCCGCCATATTGGAAAACGTATTAAAAATAGATGAATATAAAAATGAAAACGAAACGAAAAGAAAATCTAATCGCATTTCCATCCATCGAGTACGCTATCCGTCATATTAAACCTGCTGCAGCTCCATATACCGAGGTATAGGATAAAAATAACAATAACCACGGAACCCTATTCCCTGCAGGACCCTCTAGACCGCGCCTCAATCCATCACAGAGATAATACAAAAACAACGGCCGCAAAAGCCCTGTCGTCGCTAATTCAATCCGGTCTGCCGGTCACCCACACACGGTTACCTAATGGCTTCGGGTGGGCAGGAAACGAGAACATTGGACGTGCCTGCACGTGTATCGACGGCCAACCGGATGTATAATACTGACTTCAACGCGGGTATCTATACACTGCGATATATATACGCATTATCATTACTGTTATGCTATACTCGTAATAATATGGCCACAGTGAGCATACATTATAATTAGATGCGGGACGTTTCGTGGTTTTGGAGTAAAGCTTTTTAGTATGATAACGTAGCTGCTATTTTGATATTATATTATTATATTCATGTCATGGCTGGAGAAATTAAATTTTCTGACGGCCTTTGATAATATTATATAGTACATATCGGTATTATAATTGTATATAATGGTATTTGTGATAAGTTATTGTATTCGAATTAAACAATAAACTAATTAGAGCCCTACAGTGGAAAATTCTAGTTGCGCTATACGCCTGTATTGTAGGTACATGTGAACATAGGAATAATCAGCCTAAAATCAAAATACATTTAAAATATATACTTTACAAATATCAGAAATAATAATATTTTAAACAGTTGTAGTATATCGATACAACCATAATGTGCAGTAGGAATTCAATATCACTCAAATATTTTATATATGACTTATATGTATATTAAAATATAATACCATTTTATTATTCGTGAAAATAATATGAATAAGTACCTATAACCTAATAGGGAATAAATTTAAGACATATAGGTACCTATTTAAAGTTATATACGAAAAATACGAATAATTTTGAACTGTTTTAATAGGTACCTACTCGTTTTTCCCTTTTACAACAAATCGACAAACTTGCGAAGAACAATAAATTTATTAATTTTATTATTTTATTGTTTCATTTACTCATATTTTAAGTTATTTAGATAAAATGTACAGTAGAAATGTAAATAACATCTGTAATTTCTTTCGAATAAAAAAAACTTTTTTATGTCTCCAAATCCAATTATTATTATATATTTATAGGACTGCTTTCCACTTAGGGAAATCGAATTTTTTCGTTGGCAAAGTTCGGTTTGTCCCGAAGGGAGAAAGTTCGATAACAATGGGCGTGGCATCAACGATAAGGGAAGACAAAAGGCCCTGGAGATACTATATTATGGAAAACAGCAGTAGTCCGAATATGTCGAGGTCTCATTAATCACCGAATTCATCATACAATTGCCAACAATTATTATTTAAAAATTAATAAGCTACATACTCCTATATAGTCGAATTTGAGTAGTAAAATAATGATGTTTAAAGCTAGCGTACAATATAATCATAATTTAAACCCAGTCAGTAATTTGTTCGTACAATTTGTATTTCAGAATTCATAAAAAAAATTTTTGAAGAATAACTAGGATTTTTTTTAATATTATAGAAAACAATATAATACGATTTTTATTGATAATACCATGGTTGTAACGAACAATTCATAGAATATTTCAAATACGACAAATAACACTAAATACACCGACAATCAATTCTGATCCATAATACTGTAGTTGAAAAATATAATTTACTTATTTCATTACCTAAGTACCAATATATCCAGTAAAATATAAAAAAAGCATACTTATCAGTTATCACAATATAAAAGCTACACAAATAATTTAAAAATATCAGGCACTAATTACAACAAAATCAATGTTTAAAAATTGAATTTAGATGGAATATAAAAAAATTAATTCATACATTATTGTCGAAAAATTATTAATGGGTTTTTAAAAAATAGCTGCTGTAAAATTTTTGAGAATATACAATATGCGCATTTAATTACATTATATTAGTGTACCTATAATATATGGAATTTTATGTATGCTACTATATAATAGTTTCTTAACAAGTGATAAACTACGAAGCCATAACAAAAACATAAAAAAAATTACTTAGAAGTAACAATAACCTCTTCAATGTTCCAATATGGACATATGGTATAAGTTCAATACTCAATTTATAGGTAGGTCATACTTAGGAGTAGGTTCTTTACAACCCAATAAAATATTTTTCAAAGAATAATCATGCGCACCAATATACTTCCTTTAAAATTCAAATAATTGTTATGTTAAAATGAACCTTAGCTGTTTTCGTTAAACCCATCGGTTACAAATTAAAATGTATTACTAACGGTTATAATAGTAATAATAATAATAATAATAATAATTCAAGTATTGTTCAATTTGGAATTGACATATTTTTTACGATATTGGTCAAAGTTAACTGCTACGTTCGTTTTGGGGAATACGGGTATAATCTTATGTAATCCTTTTATGAAGAAAAAGTGTTAAAACGTTCGGTGGAACTTTTGTTACATTTATAGGGTGACAGTTCGGGCATTTAAAAGGGTTTATGTCATTTCCTCGACGTTTTCCGAGCAGATTTATTTAATTTATCTGTCATGAATTTAAAACAGGAAACTTAAATGAACACTTTCTGTGCATTTGTTTATAAAATAATGATCTAGAAAAAAAATATTAATAATAAAAAACGGTGGCCCTGTAAATATTATTATTTTTCTCCTGAAGGAAAAGGTGAGGGTAGTCTCACACGACACACGTGCGGAGTGATCGTTAAACGTGACTGGGATTAATATAATACTAAGCAATAACTATCTAATGTAAATAATAGAATGATACATTTTATTTCTGTAAAAGGCTGACGGAATGAATAAAAAACATTAGCCAAACGACGTTTTGAAAGTTAAAAGGTATGATCGTACTAATAATTTAGTATGTTTTGTACTAATTTTGAGAACAGTTTAAATAATACTCGATTAAGATAAATATTACATATAGTGGATTTTCTTTAAATAATATTAATTATATACATTTTAATAACTATAAAATTATAATAAATTTAATTATATTCTTAGACAATGTCTTATGAGTTGTAAGCGTATTCCAACGATGAAAGGTAGGTAATAGTGACGTGGTATATAAGAACTTAATTCGTGTAAAATATATAAAAACGCTTAAACTCTTTTTCTTTGTGTACCGATCGATAAGAAAAATAATAATATTCCATTTGATAAGCATCGGTGTCGAGGATTTTTCTGCTGCTAAAAATCGTTTTTGTAACGGAATTAAGAACGGCATCGTCGGTACTAAGTAAATAATAGAAAGGAAAATATTTTGTTTTAATTATAAAACCCTCAAGAAGCTCTAAGGGTCTTTTTTTTACACCGTTCTATTTTCTCTTTGTGCAAAATGCATATAATAAGCCTTTTCCTTTAACCCCCCCCCTTCTCACTCGCATTCTCTTTCTCTCTCACTCTCTCTCTCCCTCTCTCTCTCTCTCTCTCTCTCTCTCTCTCTCTCTCTCTCTCTCTCTCTCTGATTCTAGTTTGTCCGCAGGGCCGGGTCCCGCGTGTATTAACACCACCACACCTCCAGTCGACGACTATATCGTACCAAAAAACCGAATTCCGGGCCCCTGAAGGGTTAATTGGCCGTGCCATTAGCGAGGTGTACCCGGCCGGGATCCCAGTTGTTTATATCATTTAACAAGCGACAATTTATAACTGCCAGTATTGCGCAGTTTGCACGTACATTATATGGTTACGAGTGTATGCTGTATATTTAAGTATATATAATGGGGTGTGTGTGTGTGTGTGTGTATACCCAGACAGGCTGACGACGAATTAGACAGGAAAAAAAACAATATTCTTAACAAACATGTACCCTTTCACCAATTGCCCCGAGTCATTTATCTGAACGATATCTCTCGAGGGGCCAATCTATAATATAATACGGAGGAGGTCCCATGTCGAATTGATCACAGTCATCTACGCCCGAGACAACTTTATAACGACGCTTGTCTAGAAGTTTAGTAAAAATTACCCTGGAAACAATGTTCTACTTTACAGTAGCTATACCTATACGTTTTCAAAATTAAATTCTCTACAGTACCCGCATCAATCAATTTGTTTCTATTTTAACAGTGTTCTTAAATACCAAGATAATTAAGTCAATCAATATGGAATAATATTATACTATGTTATTCAACGCTGTAAATCAGCTTTTAAATTCATAACATAATAATATACAAAAAGTAATAATAAATCAAAAACATTTTTACCGAAGTAATAAGGTAAACCTATCATGATACGACATTGTAGTATCAGAGTATCAAACTTAAACGGTAAATTGTATAATTCAGGTGAGTTAAAAACATGGCAGTAATCGTATTAAATTACATAAGGTTAGAACAAATATTGACTCAGTTTATTATTTTTCAGATGAATAGATTTGAGTATTTTACAATTAAGTATATATTATACTATATTCACTATTCAGTTTGAATGATGAATGCCACAATTATTCTTGATTTCAATGTCATTCTTGTTTATATTATAACCGACGAACACTACTTTAAAAAGGCCTTCAAGTGCTTTCATGAATCATTCAGCTTTTTATTTTTTATATTGTCATTATGTTTAATTTAAAATTACATTGCTTCTTTTTAATGTTGCCATTATATTAATTTCATAAGAAAATAAGTAATAACCCCAGAGAAATTATCTCATGAACGTTATAAAATAAAAAGCAACGGTTTTCGTAGAATTAAATTAATCAACAGTTTTCACTTTCATTAACGGCAACACGTTAAATGTGTTTTTTGTTCAGTTTAGTGAAAGCAATTCAAATTTATCCATACATTTGTTTAAATTAAGACTATACTATTATAACACGAGTGCTTTAATAATAATAATAAGCTGGATATAAAATAATAATAATAATATATGACGATTATTTCAAAAATACGAAAATACCAAAAAATATAAATACATCCATCATAAGGCATTATAAGTTAACCAAGTCGATCATAAGTTATATGAATGATATAATGATATATATTAAACAGAAAAGTAACGATTGAAGTACACCACGTTATAGAAAACGTGGTCATAAAAAAAAAATTAACTACTTCATTCGATATTAAAATGATAATATTATGATTAATTATGTACCATACGCGTTGAATAGCAATTATATTCAAGTAAAATATACCTTCTAGTTTATTATAATAATATACAAAATTACGTTTTATTTTCGATCCGATTCCATAAGGGAACTTTTTCTGAGTTTAACAAATTTATTTTTATCCACACGAATATAAACGTTCAGTTTGATTGTCTAAAAGTGGTCGGCTTGTAAGTCGAAAGACTATACGGTGCGTACCTACCTATATAAAAACGACGTACAGATGTGGTAATTTTTCAAATTGATTAAGTCGACATTCATCTAGTAAACATAACAACGCATCTTTATAGAACACGCGCCGTATACATAAATCAGTATACTAGCTGTAGTCAACAGACAGTAGATTTTATAAATATATATAGAATCGTGTGCCGGATTTTCCTTTCCCTCGGTAAATCCCATTTGTGCGATAGCACCACCACTAGCGAGAGACTGCGCTGCTCTTTTAACTCGTTAGCAATACACACGTAAGTATACGTGAAGATTTTTCGGACCGAGGGCAACAGATAATACGGGAGAAGGATGAGCAGGCCGGACGCGCGTGTGAGAAGTGAGCCATTCGCAGGCCGATAACAGTTTCTCTTCGTCAGGTGCAAAGCTCTGATTCGAGGCCTACGCAGCAAAGCTTTTTAACGGAACGGACAGCCAAAATTCTGGAGCCACAGCATGGCGGGGGGGGGGGGGTAATCCCTTTGTGTCGTGTTGTTCGGCGACTGTAAGCCTTACAAATCAGCGTTAGCCTACGAGCAAATAAATAAAACCGTCACACCGTCCGGACGCAAAACGGATTTGGCACTACTACTACGACGACGACGACGACGACTGTACGAAGACGATTTTTTCCAATTTAAGTAATCGATATTACAGCTGTTGTACGCTATTACTATATAACTAAATGTACGCACTACGAGCGTAAAAAAAAAAAATAATAATAAGGATAAAAGTATTCATTCAAAGTATTTTTTTCATTATTATTATTTTGTACCAGTGTAGTAGTAGTAGTAGTAGTAGTAGTAGTTGCTCGAGAATTCCAAACGCGCTCATTCCCGTCTCATATATATATTATGTACATAGCGTTTTTCTTAAACATAGTACAACTGCTGAAGTACAAGGTATATAGCGCAACAAAGTGTTAAAAATTCAACTGTACCGACATTTGTAGTACACGAGTCGCAGCGAACACGGTGGCATATAATTTATAAAATGCTGACATTATAAACTATAACACTCGAGCTTTGAACACGCCATTTTAAAAAGTAACTTTTTTCTTAAACAATAATTATTATTATCTACTACGAAGTACAAAACTGTCATAAAAAATGTTTTTTTCACCATAAATGAAGTGTCGAAATGTATTTTTATGTTTTGTATACCTCGGTTATTTGACGCGAAAGCAAAGTACGTAATTTGAAGACACTGATATGATAAATGATAATATATATTATAATATTTATGAAAAACTGTTTTCATATTACATTTATATAAATATTATAAAATAATATGGGACATCTATACGAATCAAGAACTCAAGAGACAAGAATAACCAGGACGATTTCGTCCTACATAATATTATACAATACACATTCCATTGCTCCATCGCCATAGATTATTAATTCTATTATTAACTCTATTATTTTTGTTCGTTAACAAAATCGTCAAGATTAATCGCAGGTACGATATAAATACGTTATGTCAGAAATAACTAAAAAAAAATAAGTAAAATAAACGGAGTGTCAAGTTTTACGAGTTTTGCATGATCGAGTAAAAATATTGTACTGTTGCCACAGAAAGTGTTATAAGAAAAAAGTCTTACCTTGCCCACGCCGGTAAGTTCTTTGCCGGCAATCCGTCGCTGCAACAATGCCGGCAGAAGAGGTGCGTGCTTGTGCAGGCCGCTGGCGAATCCATGCGAGGTGGTCATAGCATCTTCTCCTTGAGATCCCCGTCTTTTTCTGCGATGAGGCGAACCATTTAGATTCAATTTTTGAGACGCCCTGTAAGCACAAAACAAAAACAATAATAAATAACTGTTTGTCGAGTCGATTTCAAATATTTAATTTTAATTATTACTCCAGCTAAGGATTAATTTTGGAAAACACCGCCATTTTGTTATCTACTCGTATCATTGTAATAGTAAAAATACACAAGACGTCTACACCTGTATTTCTCAATTTCGACTCAAGTTATTTTTTTCGATGGGTCACAACTCGCAAGCATATTATATCAGATTAAATGATTAATGGATGTAACAATATACTGGAACTTATTACAGTATAAAAGTACGACTAGACATTTTTTTAATTTTCGCAGAAAAAGAGGGAGGGGTCTATATCGTGTCACCATATCAAAAATGTTGCTAATCACAGGTATATATGGTATAAACGGTACTGGTGCTAGGTGATTGCATAATCGTATTTTTTGATGTTTTAAAACAAGGGGAAAACCCCCAACGCACAAAAAAAATGTTACATGAAAACAATTGTTCATAATATTTTAACTTTTAACTTACAACTTATGTTGATAACGATATATAACCCCCCCCCCCCTCTTGTCACACAACATTTATTTCTGGTTATTATTATTCGTGACGGCTGTTATTTTTTATTTAATAATATATATTCCTCGGCTGCGTTTAATGATGTAATTATAATTTAGAGTACACGTCGCAGCATGATGAATACAATAAATTTGATCCCCAGCTACTACGCATTATCGGGTTAATGGTTGGGCACTTACATCACTCTTAACCTGAACCTAAATGGAAACGTGAAATGCAACCCAATCATGTAACAATGTAAGTATATAATGTTAAATGGTCGATGAATGCGGATGACAAGCATAATAAGATCTTTAAAACGTCGAGGCACGAAAAAAAAAACTTTCACTGCAGCAATTTTTCGAATAGGCTTTTCTTTCTATAACACATCGAAAGTATCGTTTTCATCCGCCAAACTACCCCACCGCAGCAATAACCTAACCCCAGGGAAACACAACCGGTAAGTGCATTGTATTATTCTTTTCGAGGATATTTTTTTACGATTTCAACAAGTTTTATTCGAAAACTTTCCAGTTCATTGAATCATTTAATTGGAAAGTATGTTGAAAAGTCACCAGATATTTAAAATTTATGTTCCTACAATCCGTTTCCTATAAATATTGTATCGTCAAGAAAGGGCTAGAAAATGCAATAATTTATCGTTTAATGGATAAAAAAAAACGTGTAAATAAGGAAATAAAGTATTATTTCCAGCCTTCTGTTTTACATAGGAACCGAGCCAACGACATAATTTATATTACGTTTGGAAAATACTTTTACGTTGGTATCTCATATAATATTATAAATGTTTTTAATTATTATCGATTGAAGCGTAATAACGAATTATAATTTATATAGGAATTATTTAGGTAGCAAATAACTAAATCATTTCTGACAATGTGTTTTTGTACAACGCATTGTATTATGTTTAAAAAAAAAATATATTTAAATAGGTATTTTTTCGTTTTTCATTTTTTAATACATAATCCATCATTTTTTATTTATTTATAACAGCGGTAGGCATCGGTTTAGTATGACAACGCGATCGAAAAAAAAGAAATAATCTAAAAATCTAAAATAACATTTCTAAGTGTATTTACATTTTTTTTTTATCACAATAACTACACACCCTGTAGCACCCTAACTACACATACAAATATATTATGGTTATTCGCCGGGTTCTAATGTCGTTACGGTCACATAGCATCTGTAATTCGAGCGGACCGTCCAGCTGGTTACCTATATACTTACATATACCTCTACGGCTATACCTAATAATTATTATTACGAGTAGGTACTGATCGAGATGAGCGCTAAATTGAATTTTCTCATCGGATCGTCTTCCGCTATTCGCACGACCAGATTTACCTATCGGTTACATGATGCATTGTACAGGGTGATTCGCCAACCATGCTAACCCCGATTTTTTCATCGGACGACACCGACCAATCCAATCTACACGGCATGGGTGTGCTCATGGGTGGGGGGTTGAGGGAGTCATATCCCCTCATTTTGGCTCATTTTATACTATAGTATGCAGATAGTATCTATAATTACTGCTAAATAACGTGGTCTGCAAATAGTCAACAATTCATATAGGCATTAAGCACCCCATTTCGAAAAAGCTAAGCACGCTATCAGTATAGTTTGGTCGGACGCAGGAATTGCTTAGCCCCGCTTCTAACACATGCAGTAGCAGGACACAACGGTAGTTTCCTGATAATCGGTTTATTAGACTTCCTAACGTTAAGGTTCTACATTGCAGCAATTCGACTAAAGTTAAGAATCGTCAATCTCATCACAAATAGTTGTTTGATTACTGGTTCTTAATGTCCGTTATACGACTAGAGTTACATATTATTCGTAAATATTAAATCCATCCGACACGGTGTCACTGTTCTATACCAATAAATATTAATCTAATTTCATAAAAAAATATTCACGTCAATAATATTGTTGTAATGTGAAACAACCGGTTATATACGTTTCAATATTATTCATTAATATAAGCTATATTATAAAATCGGAATCATAATATCAATAATGAATACGAGTGTGTTTAGGATAAGCTTTATTTACTTTTCATTAAAACTTCTAGACTTTGAGTCATGTACTCATGTTAATAAATAATAATAATAATAATAATATAGCAGTAATTACTAATTAAGGTAGGTATACCGGGTACGAAAATAACGAAATAGTTTTAAATTTGTCTGACTACTAAACTATGAAATTCGTAGAAGTTTTTGTGAACTTAGACTTGTTACTCGTATTAAAATATGACTAGGATATCACGAGTATAATAAGGTGCCTTAACAATCAAATCATAAATGATTAATTAAAACCGTGTTTTCTTAATACCTATTTGTCATTGTTGAACAACACTAGTTTTTGACTTTTACTCGTACTTTGGCCTACGTTATTAAATTCCACAAACTTTAATGGAATTACACGATAAATATTAATTATCATTGCGCTTGCCGTTCTTTTTCTTAATTACATGACCGCGAGAAGGACCGGCAATAATGTCCTATTATATAGAAGTCGCTGATAACAAAATTCAGCTGTTGTATAATATGAATAGGTGTATTATATGTCGTTAACCTGCCAGCCCTTATTATTATTATTATTACCCTCGTGGGAATTTCTAGTTGTATTACAGCCACCAATTACATATATATTATAAAATATAATATTGTAATAAATCATACCTATATAGTTCGTTTTGTTATTTCCGAAACATTGTGATTATTTATTTTTATTACTATCCTATAAATGACGTCTGGAAAACCCTTTATTATAAGTTTTAATACTTAAATTATTCATTATTTATTGCCGAGATTTAACAATCTTTTACATAATAATCATATAAAAATAATTAAAATTCAAAATAGAACCTGACTATAAGGATATACATATAACTGTTAAGAGGATGCCGATTAAGTTTTATTTTTTTTTTAAACAAAAAGAGTTTTGGCAACGAATTTAAATAAATAAATGCATAGACACTTAGAATTAACTCAAATATATATAACAAATGCCCTGTGCATGTATATTTAAAACGAACAATAAATTTAATTAAACTCACTGTTAAATTAATCTCGAATAGTGATGAAAATTTAAACAAAATTATTTGTGATCTAAATTATTAAAATTAGATTTACTAACTATCGAAACGCGTAATACGAAACATAATATTTTTTACTTACATAATGAAATTCATTCAAGTATATAAAAAACAATATTTTTTATAATATGTTTCACATTTTGTTATAAAAATGTAAAATTGAATTTTTTTTAAACGTCATAATACCTATGTTGATAATTCTACTTTCAAACAGAATTTTTCACAAGTTCTGCACACAGTGCAACCCGTGAGTACATATTGTGTAACCAAATAATGCTACAATTTGAGCCTTAGAGGAGATAAAATCTTACCAGGTAACTGTAGCCGTAAAAGATGAAAAGTATACAATAAAAACTTTTTCTGTTTAGGGTTTACGACACTCGTGTAATCGTATCGATTCACTATAGGAAAATGGGAAACGTTTCAGACGAAAGTTGTGGCAATAAAAATAACGACTGGGTGTAAAATGACGACAGTTAAAATTCGCTTGTTGAAGCACAAATGAAAGAAGTAAATTCCGAATTAATAAATTCAAAATGGTTTCGTCTGGTTTTATTTTTTGCTCAGCTGTTGCAGGGGATCAAACTTCTCATCGTTTCAGAAGCAAAAGTGCTTCGAGGCTACAATATACATATAATATATATTCCACACAAAGAATATTACAAGATAATAATATAGGTAATTTCTGTAAAACACTTTTCGAGTAATTTATTTCATAAGTGTAACTCATTTTTAATACACAGAATAAAAAAATCATTGTTGGAGTGCAAAATGTTTTCATTAATATAATTATAATGCGTAATACATATACATGGAAATTACCAAAGTAAACTCACTATAATTAATTTAAAAATTATCTAGGTATAAGTAAGTACCCAAATACCCTTTTAAATTGTATCTTTTAACAATATCCTCCAAAACAAATCATAATAATAGATATAGCAACGTATTTAAATCTCCAACAAGCATTTTATACGCTGGTATTTGATTGACCTAACAATTAATAACTCTAAAAATGTAATCTAATTGCACATATTAATATAACATTTTATGTTTTAAATATATAAAAGTAATAATAATAATAATAATAATAGAAACAGTGAAGCATTTCGACTAACAAAAATATACAATATGATGTCGGCAGTAGTCTGAGAACATTATTGCAATATCACCAAGACGAGTGGCGAATGCACTACAGCGTGGAGAGATTTTCAGAATTTGTCGAAAAACCTTTGAGGCGCACGACATGTGTGAGCCCAGTCACATGGTGTCCGAAAGTTTTCTTATTACACTGCAGCCGGTGGTCGAGAGAAGTGGCGGAAAGAAACTTT